ATTTTGGTCCTTTTTAGACTGAATTTCATATGCACTGGGTAGATCATTAGGGCAACTTCAGGTATTTCCTCACGGCAAGATATCAACATGTGAATTGTTTGGTTGGGAATGTGTATTTACCTATGCAAACAAAATGTGCATGTACACACAAATATCCTGCATTTTCAATTAGATATATCTGCTATAAAATTCTGTCAAATCAAAATAAATAATAAGCTTAGATAAAGCCAGAAATCTTTTAGTGTGTTAATTAAATGTTATTGTAATGTCGGCCACTTTAGAGAATGGTTTTCAGAGCATATTTACATTTTTAAAAATGTTACAGTCCAAGCACATCATTAATATTAGTTTGACAGAAGGAACTAATCCATTATACGTTTCATTTTAATCAGAGTACTACCTATATAAGGCAGTATTTCTTTCTGCTTTTACCAGTTCTTACATTAACGTCATCTCTTATATCCTATTGCATAGCCATGACTTTTTTTGGCAACTACAGTGACCTAAATGATTAGAAACAGGTAAATGCTGGCTCTTATTAGTTTTGGTTAGTTTAAGGGTATTTTAGTAATGTTCTATGGAGCAGTGTTAGGCATGACTGTAGGCTCTTATCTTGTAAAGGCTAACAGTAGGTTACTTCACTCATGTGAATAAAATTATGTGTATGTATGTCTCCTGTTAATCATGCTAAGATATGTAAGGTATTCCTTCTTTAGATAAATCTTGCAGCAGAATTTGTATTTTCTCAAAATAGTGGTGATATAATCCTCAGTTCTCAGGCCATGTAAAAGTATCTCTACAACTTTTTGTATTTTTGGAATGTATTGTAGTTTGTACTCCCACTCTATGTAAGCAAATACTCTGTGCTAAATGCATTTGAAAATGGAGTTTTAAAAAGAACAACTAAAATGAAAAGTATTATTTGAGATTCCCTGATAATGGTTTAAAGTACATTTAGATCAATGTTCAGTATTGGTATTTTCCCTCTACCTTAAAGGTATGCATATTTGTTGAAGTGTAAATTAATTTTGGCTTATGTATACAAATACTCTGTTTTTTATGAGTATATCAGAGACCAGACACTTCATGTTTCTAAAGTCCTCTGTCTCTGTAGGCACTTCTTTCCCCCACCAAAGAGATGGGTGCCTTTTTTTTTTTTTTTTAAGAAAAGCTTAGTTATTTTAAAAAATATATAGACAGTTCTCAAACGGAGTCCAAATTTCTGTAAGAATATATGCTACCAAACGCCTAAAAATCATTAATTAATCCATGTGGTAATAACAGATGGTTAAAAGGAAGAAACGTCCTTGAAGTTATTCTTACAACAGATGTGCTTAACTATTAGCTTCATGTTTTTACTCACCTAAAATTCCAAATACTGTAACAAGAAAGTAACACACACCTAATCATTTTAATTTGTTCATTACCTTCTGTAACTGACTTAGGATTCTTATAAACACTTAAAAGCAGGACATCATTTAGAATTTGTTGTGGTAAAACACTTTAGAACATATGTGTATGTGTATCTATATAAATACATTTGACTTTTCTTTTTCTTTTTAAAGGATCCTACAAAATGCATTATTGCTTTCAGACAGTAGGCTTCACCTCTTCTTACAGACTCAGCTAAGTCCGGAAGATATGGAGGCTTGTGTATCTGGACAGACCAAATATTCTGTTGCTGATGCGATTCATAAGTTTGCCTCTTTGAACAGACGTTTTCCTATAGAAGCTGAAGAGAGAAAAAAAGGAAAAAACGACGCAGACTCCGATTCAGAGAGGTGATTTCTGTATTTCCTTACTTTCCGCAATTATATATACATACATATATACACGCGCATGCTTCTCTTTTTTGTTGATGTAATACTAAGATAATGAAAAAATTAATTGACTGAGATTTTATTGAGCTGTGACAGCTCATCATAGAAGTCTTCACACACACCTCCACACTGAATTAATGAATGCAGTAGAAATTCAATTATCTGCATTCTGATTATGTGAATTTCATTTAGTCAGACTTGAATTATTCGCGTTTAAATTATCTTGCTAAAAAAATATCCAACTGCACTCCAAATGGCTAATTAAAAGTCCAAATTTCCTGTCTCTCTTTGTGACTGGAGATAATTAAAGTTCTCCTCTGTTACTCAGGCTTTGAGTGTGTTGTGAAAACCAATTTCCTCCTTTTATTTTTTTTTTTTTCCCTCTCCCCTTCTCTGCAGTTCATCCTCTGGGCTTGGACATAGTGATGACAGCATTTCACGTGGATGTAAAGCAAGCCCAGCTTCTGAAGAATCGTGAAAAATCATTTCTGTATTGCTCTCTGAAGGACAGTACAAAGTGGTTTCTGCTATGTTAACTAGTTACGTGCACCACGTAAACATGACTTGCTAGTAACATGTACCTAAAAGACTCGTTGTCAATACTACTGTATGTCCCTAAAGAGTTTTTGAAACAGACCTTGATACTATTTTTTGTTGATTTATTATGCACATTGATTGAGATTTACATGTTACCTATTACATTTAGGCTTTTGCAACTGTTAAAATCTCAAAATTGGGCTAGTCACGCTCTACAGAGACATATGGCAGTTAAAACATTTCCTTTAGTGACTGCACGTCTTAAGTCTGGAAAATCAAGGTAACTCAATTCCTCAGCTTAAAAGTTCTTATATCATGCAAAATATATTCAAAGTATCTTTTTGCAATTTGCATCAGAGAAGTTTAATCTTTAGAAGTCATTTGACATTGGTGACGAAATTAAAAACTTAATACCTTGTGGGGCATGTAAAGTAGCTCAGCAACATCAGCAAAACAACATTTGTACAAACTATATGCTGCTAGCAATTTGAGATATAAATATATCTTCCTCTGCTCTTTCTCTAATGTTTATGGAAAGCTTGGTTTTATCATGCATAAGAACTGAAGGCCAAAATTCTCAAGCATGACTGCTTAGAAGTTAGGAATAATAAAAATGACGTAATGTTGAGGTTTTCTAAAGAGGCTTAGTTCCCAGGGAATTATGGATACTCATTCCCAGTGAAAATCCTGGATGAAGTCCATTAAAACCAATGGCTAAATTTTCTGTTGACTTCACTAGGGCCAGGATTTCACCCCACGGGTCTAACCTTAGGTACCTGTATTTGAAAATGTCAGGACAGAGATTTTAGTTTAACAGCTTAAATGGAGTGTATTTCTCTCTCCAAGATGACGATATTCACGTAGCTATAACATGTTGTACAAATGTGCACGTCTCAAATCTTTGGGAACAACTGCAGCTGCTGCTTTCATTGCTACTCTAGTTAACACATTGGAATATTGACTTTTTCACAAACAAAAGGCAGGCTTGAACACAACTTTGTAACCACCAACACCTATTTTGATTAAACGTCAATTTTGTTCTTTATTGTTAACCACAGCTGCATAGTGTCTTGTCCCAGACTCTGTCAATGGAATATGTTTCACTGTGGTGTTGTATTTATATTTGACATTTAACTGCTATTAAAAAGAGCTAGGGGGTCTGATCACTTTAGCAAAGCTCCCATTAACTTCAGAGCTGTAGTTACAGGCCTAAAAATGGTTTTGTTTTTTTTTTTTTAAAAGAATTCTGTGTCTAGTTTCAAAGAAGGAACACTTTAAATCTGTGAATTACAGAAACAATAGATTATTAAATGGCCAGCTAATAAAGGTTAGCATCGGCATGTGTGGGCATGTTTTTTCAAGCATCCAGCTGGGAATCTGTGTAATTTTAGAAACATGTTTTAATAGCCCAAGGATAACATCTCTTAGGTAACTACTTTTAAGCCACTGTTTTCTGTTAATGGTAGCATTTCTGTAAGATAAATACCCGTGTTTCTTTTTGCTCAGTTTTATTGAATGGCACAAATGTATCTCTTCACCATCTCAGCTAGTATACAAGATAGCAGCAAAGCTATTTTAATGTAAAAGTGATAACAGTTAATTAAAGCAACAAGTTATCACTAGAAGTAGCTAAAGGATAGCTGTTATTGCCAGGCAGAGATGTTTGCTTTTTAAGTTGTTACATTACTGGAAAAATTATTGTTTAGCCAATATATTGAAAAGATGGAGGAAAATATCAAAACAAACAAACTGGAATAATGTCTGAGAAAAAACAAATGCTTTTATTTAATACAGTGTTAGGGTAGTGGGTTTTTTGTTTTGTTTTCAAATGGTGACTAGACTGTTGAAGCACTTTACAATTCTTGGCCTACTTGTGCAGGTCCTTAATAGTTGACTAAAAATACATAAATAAAAGGATTAGAGAATCTTCATGGCTTTTAATTCTAGGAGCTTATCTTTTTGTGTTTCAGAGGATGGATTTGTGGGTTGGTTTTTTTTTTTTTTCCAAAGAAAGATATTTCTGAACTAAATACTTGTTTCTAATGGTTCTGTTGTTACTCTGTTATTTTCTTTATTACATTCTTCAGAAATATCAGTACTATTAGCAATGTTTTCTTTGCATCTTTGAAAGCAATTTGTTTAAAACCTTTACCTGTTGAATGTTATTTGTTTAGCTAATATTACTGGATTTTTTCTTATTAAAGAAAATGAAAAGTATTCTCTGTTCTAGCACTTTTATTTTGTTATCAACTATATAAATGCATATAAATGCTTTATAGCACTTTCTTTAAGTGGGGACGTTTATATGTAACAGTTATATAATTTTACATTTATATGTAAGAAAACCCTTATTTTTAATATCTTTTGACGTCAATTATTTTGTTTAACACTCATTTATTTTGACTCTAAAAACATCACTGGTGTTTTGATTCTCAGTTTTTAGTTTTGAATAATATAGCTGATATTATCTGCTAGTTTTTCAGGCAGGCTAATACCTAAATTATAATTTCATCTAATTACTCTAATTTATATCTAATTACAATGACTCTAATTTTGCATGCAAATAACCAAAAGCCTTGCTTTTTTTTTTTTTGCTTAGAGCTTTATATTCTGATTTTGCATAATGATTTAACAACTTTTATGTAATTAAATAAAACATGTTACCATTTTTATCTCGTCTTGAAACCTGATAGTAAGATTTACTTTAGTGTCAATATCCTAATCATCTTATGGCTTTCCATGTGTAGTTACTTTCCTTCAAATATTTTGATATATATGTATAGACTAAGTTTGTGGGGGGTTTTTTGTTTGTTTTGTTTCTTAGAAATTGTAAACATGTGAAAATATCTCCAGTCGTATATCCTGTCAAATTGCACAGCATGTTTAACTTCAGGGTATTGTAAACTAGCATTAAACAAGCTCTTACTTAAAATGTCACTGAACTATACTTGTAAGAAAGATGAGAAAAACTGTCTTTTAGAAAGTTGTTCACTTACACAGCAGTAGAGTTTTATAAGCACTAAGAAAGCTTATACCCTTGAATGCACCACCAAATAACATTGCAAAATTCTATGTCCAAAATTTTTTAGAAACATGTACTATGCTGAAATTTTTCAGAACAATATTTAAATTATATAGCTACACAAAATTTGTGACTTACTCTATAAAATACAAAATGCACATAAAGTGAGTAAAATAAAACTTTTATGTTTCTTCGTAGTTCTTACAGGAATGGGATCAGTGATGATGACCCATGTTTACACCTTAGAGGATTTTTCTCACTAGCTTTTACAGTGTTACACTTCTTTATTCATACATGCACAAAAATGTAAATCAGTATTTCCTAAATACTTCAAGAAAAACAGTTATTCTCTTCCTTAATATTAAAAAATAGTCTGTAGCATGTTAAATTGGTTCTTTGCCTCCTGGAATAAAGCCTTGTTAGAAATAATCTAAACCAAAAATCTGCTAAGGCAAAAATCAGCCTTACTCCTTTTGGGTCGGAGCCCTGACTTTCTAACGTGTGACGTGCCTGCACCACATGCATGTATGTCTGTGCGTGCACCGGGCAGCCCTGCGGCACCTCTCGTTCGTGCACAGGCGGCACGCGGTTCGCAGCGCTGCTGGTGCACGGCACGGCACGGCACGGGCGGAGCGGGGCGCGGAGCAGCGCCCG